CTATATATGCGAACTCAAAAAAAAAAACCTTTGCGAAAACCCACTTTTTTATATATGTAATCATAGTAAAAACGTAAATAACAAAAACATTTTATAAAAGCAAACACCACCAATATACTTATGGCCCGAAATCTAATGTAACTGATTTGTAAGAATTTGTGATCTTTCGTAGGAATGTCCTTTAAATTTTTTTCGTTTGTTTTTTTTTTGGAACAATATATGGCGCATCAATACTGGTTAAATCGACACCAAAAGTAAAGATTATTCGATATATTCAGATGACAGCTTAACTTTATATTAAGGATGTACCGTAGGCTCAAGAAAAAAATTTTTTTAAACAAATCGTCAGAAGTAACATTTTAAATAGGTTCATATCGAAAATTTCATTTTTAATTAAAATATTTAAGGGCTCCAAATTTAATAAAATTTTATTGTAATGTACAATATAAAACTACTACCATCTTTTCAACTTGATTATAATAACTATATTAGTGTTGGCTATTTTTGTTTGCTCTTAATAATATTCGAATTTCTTATAATTACCTTCAATTCCGTTTTGATGGTAATGGCCAAGAATGAATATTCTACTGGCATGACCCCTCTCAGTGAATTTTTGATAATACTTGAACCCTTAGGCTCATCCTTTTTGACTTCAACGACTTCGACCATATTATGAGATAGCGAAAAATAAATTAATCATATAATTTAAGATCATACAATGAAATAATAATGCTCACCATTATACATGCTGAACAAACCCGCACAAATCTCAAACCCCCAAAAAATTGGTATTTATAAAAAAATTGAATCAAGAAAATAATCTTAAAATTTTGCAGATATATTTTATATGACTATAACTAACAGTCTGAGTGTCTGCGGCATCAACTCGGGATCGTTTATTTTCCTGAACAGAACCTAAAAGAGATTCATAAAATCGGTTAGAAGTGACAATTTGGTTATAATGTGTTTGACAAAGTGAATAGGAATCTAAAGAGTAATTGGCAAGTTCAGGAAAATAAGTAAAAAAAAGTGAAGTCTCTCAGCTGCTTTTAGGCCATTCGCATTCCACCATTTCCGATCTTTCGTTTCGCATGGGCTTAAACCAACTCCACTATAATTACTAACTAAATCTTCGAAAATACATTTATGGTCTTTCGCACTTTGTTTTTGGTGTCCTGACACTACAAAAAAAACATTTAAAGTATCGTTTAGTTAGAAAGATCACTTATTCTAATATGCAAATGTGTAAAAAAAAAGCCGATCTTATGATCTCATTTACTTTTTTTTAATCAGTTTACTGTGAGGGATTCTTTGGGATGATCGAAAGTAGACGTTCTAAACTAACTATTTGAATATCGTTTAGTGGAAATCAATACAACGAATACCGTGAAACCTTCAAGAGAAAAGGATACAAAAAAAACGTGACAGAGCCAATCAAATTTGCGAATCGGCACGTGGATCATTCTAGAACCCGATTTCCAAATTTGGTATATTCCCTAACTGTACTATCGTATAAACTCGAAATAACGCTCATGGGCGTTATTTTGAAAATCAGATCCTTCCAAAATAGCATAGATGATTTCAAATTAACGCCCATGGGCGTCCTGAATTAACGCGCACCCCTCATATAAGAATTTATATCAAAGTAAAATTTGTTCTAATATTAAAATTCTGCGCAGATTTTTTTTAAAAAAAATTGTTATATCTAACTATTTGCTACGTAATTTCGTGGATGTCTGTGAAATTACATCATCGTCTTGAAACATATTTACCTTTTTAACGACTATTTTGCGATTCTTTTTCTGGTCTCGTTATAGTTTTTTGCCAGTTTCTCTTGTGGTTCTTTTCTTTTTGCTTGAACTAATATTAACAATTTCTTTTTGCAAATTTAGCTTCTTTGGAACATCTGGTAAGGAAGATTAAGGAACCGGAATCGTGTGATTGCTTCACTAGAGCACCAAGTAGTGGAGATTAGACTGTAAGTTATTTCTTTTTCATTGGTTGTTTTTTTTTTTCTTAACCAGTTTCTAACACTTCTTTTCTGTTGTAGGTTTAGTTTCGTTAAAACACCCGAGTAGTGGAGATTAGAGCTGGGATCTTGTAAGATAAGTAGTTTCTTTTTCTTCTTTTTTTTTTTTTTTTCTTCTTTTCGTTTGAACAAATATTAACATTTTTGTTATGTAGATTTAGCTTCTTTGGAGAACCAGAATCTTGTGATTGCTTTGCTGAAACACCAAGTAGTGGAGATTAGGCCGGGATCCCATAAGTTATTTATCTTTCATTAGTTGTTTTTTTTTTTTCTTGCTTGAACAGTTACTAACTTTTTTTTTTGTTGTAGGTTTAGTTTCGTTAGAACACCCGGGTAGTAGAAATTAGAACCAGATTAGAAGGAGGAAAAGAATTCGCTAATGCACATTGCAACAACACCATTCTGACTTTTTGGATCTTTCCTGATTAGGAGGAGAAAAAGTATTCGCTGATGCACTTTACAACAACACCATGCAAACTTCTCGATCAGAGAAAAAACATTCGCTGATACACTTACAACAACACTATGCAGACTTCTTAGATCTTATCCTGGATCAGAAGGAGAAAAAACATTCGCTGATGCACTTTACAACAACACCATGCAGACTTTCCCGATAAGGAGGAGGAAGAGCATTTGCTGATGCACTTTACAACAACACCATACGGACTTAGATACTATTCTGGATCAGGAGAAGGAAAAGCATTCGCTGATACACTTTACAACAACACATGCAGACTTCTTGGATTTTTCCCGATTAGAAGGAGGAAAAGCATTCGCTGATGCACTCTACAATAACACTATGCAGACTTCTTAGATCTTATTCTGGTTTAGAAGGAGGAAAAGTATTCGTTGATGCACTTCGCAATAACACCATGCAGACTTTTTTGATCTTTCCCGATTAGAAGAAGGAAAAGCATTCGCTGATGTACTTTACAACAACACCATGCAGACTTATCCTGGATTAGAAGAAGGAAAAGCATTTGTTGATGTCCTTTACAACAACACCATGCAGATTTCTTAGATCTTTCCAGAAGAAGGAAAAGCATTCGCTAATGCACTTTACAACAACACCATACAGACTTGGATCTTGAGAAAAAGCATTCGCTGATGCACTTTACAATAACACTATTCAGACTTCTTGGATCTTTCCCAGATTAGAAGGAGGAAAAGCATTCGTTGATGCACGCAATTGTTGGTAATTATAAGTCTCAATTTCTTTTTTTAGTTTAGTACTTATGTATAATGTTTTTAGATTTCTTTATATCATTTTACAATCAGCTCTCTATGGTATTTAGTGGTGGTTTACTATGTCGCTAGTGGCAACTGCTATAAAAATGGAATTGGTGTTGAAAAGAATGAATACAAGGCATTTATAAGCACCGATGGTGAATACTAGTGAACAATTGTGCTTGGAAACTGCTATAAAGATGGAATTGAAGTTGAAAATAATGAACACAAGGCATTCATTTGTAAGCACCGATGGTGAATGCTAGTGAACAATTACGCTTGGCAACTGCTATAAAGATGGAATTAGAGTTGAAAAGAATGAACACAAGGCATTTATAAGCACCGATAGTGAATGCTAGCACCTGGCAACTGCTATAGAGATGGAATTGGAGCTGAAAAGGATAAACACAATGCATTCATAAGCGCCGATAGTGAATGCTAGCGCTTGGCAACTGCTATAGAAACGGAATTGGGTTGAAAGGAATGAACACAAGGCATTCATAAGCACCGATAGTGAATGTTAGCGCTTGGCAATTGCTATAGAGATGGAATTGGAGTTGAAAAGGATGAACACAAGGCATTCATAAGCACCGATGGTGAATGCTAGTGAAACATTTGCACTTGGCAACTGCTATAAAGATGAAATTGAAGCCGAAAAGGATGAACATAAAGCATTTATTTATTATAATTAGCACTGATGTGTTATTTTTTTACATAAGTAGTTTCATATTCGACTTAGTTTATTTAACAAGCAAACTTTGCTTATTTGTTTTTATTTGCATATTACGTTTAAATAAATAAAAATAAATTATAATAAATTATGAAAAAAAAACGATTGTAAAAACAACAAATTACAAAAAAATATCAGGTTTTCGATATATAATATTTATTGCATAGTAAATAAAATTGCATAAATTATATTTTTAATATAAACTAGCATGCATTGTGTCTGTGCCTAGTAAAATAAATAGATTATAGGCTTTAGTGCATATTAATGTAAAGAATAAACATGAAAAACTATGTATCGGCGAAACTATGACTATGTACTGGCGAAATTATACTTAAACAATATAAGTATAGGTGAAAATTTACTGCGAAAGTACAACTAACATATCAGCAGCGTAAGCAACCGATATGTTAATTGTACTTTCCCATGCTTATACAAGTCTCTTAAGATTTAATTGATTTATGTCCTGTTATTTACGTATCATTGTTGTAATTTTTGTTCTCAAAGATGCTTTAAATTGTACAAGAAAGTTCTGAAACAATTATCGTTAATAAAAGTTGAAAATTAATTACCGGTAAAACTTTAACCTGGGTTTAATATCGAGTAACCGGATTATTCAAACTTCTACAATAAATGTATGCTCTATTATTTATATTCAATTCCAAATTTCAATTTTTGATAATAAATGAACGTCATATTTTAAGCATGTACCAGTTATTTATTTGTGACAATTGATGAATGCTTATTGCTTAGCCCAACCTCAATTATACTTGAAATTATCAAATGAATATGCAACAGAAAAAAATTAAAGAAAAAAAAAAGAAAAATTAAAAAAAAAATTTTTTTTTTAAAAAAAAAAGAAAAACTAAAAATTAAATTTTTTTTTAAAAAAATATAAGCAAAAGCATTACACTTTTATAATACGTAGATGGGGCCTTGTATTCACTCTGCCGGTAGGTTCCATTTTTGTGCAGTGGGCTGTCAATAAATGGAAGTAAAAATAAGTTCAAATTTGTTTTATGCTTTTTTTTTCTTTCTAATAATCTATTATTTAATAATTTCCATTACCTTATCAATTATCAATATCCGTTTCGTCAAGATCATCAATGTCCATTTCTTCAGGGTTATCATACATCGCACTTTCACTGTCGAGTTTATCATCAAGTACTTCATCAGGATTTGATTCATTATCTTCTTCCTCAGAAAAACACACCTCATTCATACGATTTGCGACAATAGCCTGGAGGCGGCTTGTCATCTTGTAATCTTTACTGCCATCGGGGTTAAGCGTAATTCCGGATGCTTCAAAAGACCGAGCCAAAAGATCTATACTGATTTCCCTCCACGTTTCAGATACCCATTCACATATCAATTCGTATGATGCTTTTTTGAGGTTTCTTTTTTTAGTAAGCCCACCTTTCCCTTCGTCCATCCATTTTTCCCACCTTCTTGTTATAGCATTTTTAAATGGCTTGTTCACTGATACATCGGGCGGTTGCAAAACGCAGGTAGTTCTACCGGGTATCTCTAGGACATCTAAGCCTTCCTAAACAAAAATAATAATTCTAACTCTATTATTATCTTTTAAAAAAAAAAAAAAACCATAACTACCATTTTTAATGCTTTAACTACATCATCACGGATATGACTGAGGTGGCGATCAATGAAAATTATACCTTTACTTTTAAAGAACCCATTCGGTCTGGCTCGAATGACTTGTGGAATATAAGTAGAGATCATCAAATCTCCTATCATATTTGCACAAGGTGCCGTGGCCACCACAATGTTTCGCGGAAACCTACCCTTCGGTTTTTTTTTTTAATTT